AACCTAAAGTTCAAACGACTACGAATTATCGTAATTACGCGTTCGAAGATAGATTCTTTTTCGCGTTACAAAAAATTCTCACACAGAGGAGAAAGAGAGAAAAAAAGAAACATCTTGGAAGCAAGGGAAACACACGATCGTTTATCAACGAAACTATCGATATCCTGGATATAAAAATATGAAAATACGTGTATCCTTACGTTATCCGATATATCGAGCGGGCAGATACGATTGTTCCAGAAAAAAAAAAAAAGAATCGGAGAAGTGGGGAGGGGAAGCAGTGTTTTCGCGTCATGTTCATAGTTTAAGGGAAATACCGCTGCCCTAGATACGTTGCCTCTAACGAGCCGTGTAAAATTTGAACGAGGGCTTTGGCCACGTTCGTGCGGAATCCGTAAACTTGCATACTTATTGGACGGGTACATAAGCGGATACGTGCCAGCTCTTTGTACATGAACAGTGACTAGGTCAGATCGAAGATACCCGTTGCACGAAGAGGGGCCGAGAACCTTTGCCCGAATCGCATGCCTCCCACCCACCGTTATTAACCGACCTCCCCGATCGACGATTACGTTTCGACGATCGTAAATTGATAAGAGAGAGCGCTCTTTACGTGCGTCCCCCCCCCCCTCTCTTTGTCGTCGATTTTTTCATTGTCGGGTTTTGGGCCGCGTTCTACGAAAAAACTCGCGCGATTTTAACAGCCCGCACACACATTTTTCACTCGATACGGTGCCAGTGGTATTTACCTCGCAATTTGGGTCTCCATTCCGCACGAAACGAGGCTATCTACATCTCTGTTCTCGTTTTAACGCCCTGTTTCCAGCCTCGCCGACTAAATTATACGGCGAACCTTTCTTTCCTCCTTCTAAGTCCTCCCAAAGTACTTGAACTTTGAACTATCGGTACAAAGTTCTCCGTACGAAACGAATCGAACGAAATTAATTTTCTTTCCTAATTTCCAACCGTGGATAACGTTGGCAACGATCCTCGGCTACGTCTCGATCTTTTTCGTGGAAACCTTCTGGAACGGTTAAGGATCCGTCGTGATAATAATCCTCTCGAAATTACAGCGGAGGAAGAATATCGATATTCAAACCTGTTAAACTCTGATTATGCATTTATCGTTTCTGATTATCGAGCGATACGATACTCTTATAAATCGCGACCTTGATACGCGTATCTCGTATATATATATATATATATATATATGTATAAACGAGGAACGAATAACAAGCACGATAATAGGTGAGAATTTAACAAACGATCGATCCATCGAAAGATGTTCGACTCGCGATTGAAAGTGATTTTATCGTTGCTCTTATCTTAGACTTTTGCTCGAATCGCGATCATTGTCGCAACAACGACGATGAAATTAATCGGAAAAACGGGAGAACGGAAGACTGCAATGCGGCTACGCGAAAATGCATCGCGTGCAGCAACCTCGCCGTTGGAAAAATCCTCGACCACAGCCGTGCGTTTAACGTTTAAAGGATACGAGTGCAACGAGTTCAATAGCGGTCAGTCTTGCTCCGTACTTTCAACCGTGGTCAATTTCGAGGAGAAATTGGAACGGTATAATACAAGTTCTCGTTACGATATATAAGTTCGTAGGTTGAATCATTTAAAACGTGTTCAGTTTAAAGTTAGATTGGGGACTTAGAGTTTTGCACGATTAATCGAACGTTGTACTCGAAATAAAGACAGAAATATTTTACGATTGAAAGAGCGCACGAAGAAGGAAATATCCGAGTACCCCGCTCGGTCCGTGAAGACGCGCAGCAGTGCTGGTATCGTAACGTTGTTACGGCGCCATTCGTGAAATAAAAGAAGTGTCAGATTCTACGACCATTAATGGACAGCTCGTGTTCGCTCGTTAACAAATCTTGTCGGTATACATCTTTTGTGGTCTCCGCCTGTAACGACGTTCCTTCTCTTCCTTCGTGGATTTTTATTCTCACGAACGAATCCGCAAAAAGGATCCGCGTGAACGGCTCGACGAATGATTCGATCCCACGATACGCGAATCTGTCGTAAAAATGTTCTTGCCCGTGAAACACTCGCGAAGGAGTCGTCTTTAACGATTTTGCGTTTGGTCGTCGAACTGAAAACAACCCTCGCGAATTCCTATCCCCCCTCCCCCCCCCCACCCCTCCCCCTTTTATTCTTTCTCGAACACCGGGAATCGATTATACATCCCGACGCTGTTATATATATGTCAGTTTTTGAATAATTCTCCAACCTTATCTCGACTACATCATCAATTCATGACGAAAATTTTAACGAATTTTGTGGAACACGATTCCTAAATTTTCATCGAATCGATTCGTAACTTTTTCAACGAGTAAACGTTGAAATTTCATTCGAACTCGTGTCGAACTTTGAACTTTCTTTGTAAGCTTCGTTTTTATCGACGAGAAAAAGAAAAAAGAACAGGAATTTAATTGATAATATATAGCTGTTCATAATTTATGACTTGTTTTAACGAAAGAAAAAAGAAAAATTACGACACACACACACACATATATATATATATATATACATCGACGTACACACGAAGGTATAAAATTATTGGTCGATTGCAGGTGGTGATGTGCGGGGCGGTGCCGGCAATGGTGCGCTCCGTGAGTCTCTACTCGACTTGCAGCAGCGGCAATGTTACCGTAATGGGCCGTTTGATCAAGGCCGTGGAACGCACCGATCACAATGCCCCTTACCGTAAGTACAAAATTAATTAGCTTAATTAATTAGATTATCACGTTGCGCGGCGGGAGGTTAATTAAATTCTCGCTTTCGTTTTTACACTTTTCGAATCCTTCCTCCTGAATTCTCGAGAACAGCGTACGTTAGAAAATATACGCGCGCACGTGCGATATAAATAAATAATAGGATGAAATGGCGAAATGTAGAGGTGGAAAGTTTATTAATAGACAGGGTCGAGCGAGTTGGTCGTCATTCATCGTCAACTGTTCGAAACGAGGGCAACCACGCGACACCGGCGTTTAAACGGCTTTCGAATAAATTCATTCGTTGCAACGTGTGTGGTCATCGTGGAGAATAGGTCGATCTGTTAATTGAATCGAATCGAGCAGTCCGGCCGACACCAGGAGGCGCTCGACCGTGACATTATCTCTTCCGATCGATAGTCTCCTAGAAAGACTAAAAAGGATTCCGAACAGGGGGGGATGAATCGGTGTGGCTACTCTTTCGAACGAAATAAACGTCCAAAGCTGGGCCACTAAAGATCTCGATTTATAGCGATGCTTATCGATCGACCTCGAGGGTCAGGGGGGGCCTTATCTCGCCGCCGTATTTCGCTACCAACCGCCGTCCTGGGCCCCGTTCGAACTTTTATCTTCACCAATTAATAACCCGACTCCTCTATTTCCGCGGGAGATAGCGAGTCTGGAGAAACAAGAAGTTAAAAAAAAAAAAAAA